TTAATTGTCGCAAATCTTCGATTCCATTGTCTCACTCTGTCATCTCACGATCCTGAATTACAGAAGAAAATGCTGGTCAAAGTTTTGCAAGCCGCTAGAAGCGGAAATGATGCAGAATTTTGCCGGTTATTACAAGAGCTGAGGAAGAATCGCAAGAGGAAAACGAGAAAGTCAAAGGACTCGAAGCTCGGGATAACATCGACGCCGTTGCACAGTCCCGATTATGTAATGACTGATGACGACTATTATTGTCAGCAACAACAACAGCAGCCACAGCAACAATCGCCTTATCAGTGGGTAAGTTATTATATTTCCATAGTTGGTTGCAATATGGCATCGACGTATCAATCAAATTGCATTCTCGTTTTTTCTTTCATTTCTGCCATTTTATATTTCATTTGATTTCGTGATGCAGCAAACAAGCGACAATGATTGACTTCGGACGAAGTGCTTTCCATTTTTGCAGATTGGTGCCGAGGAGGAAATAGTGAGTAAGGAGGATGATACCAAGATCCCGCAATATGAGGAGTTTAAGCAGTTCCTACTCAAGAGAATTCAACGAGAATTCCAAGCGTGTGACAATAACAATAATCAGGTGGAAGATCTGAATATTGTAGATCTACGGACAACGTCGATGTCGCCCAATCTTCAAACGGTCCCTCTTGTCGAACCGAGCTATCCGAAAGTGAATTTGATCAACGATACGGATCCTCTCGCGATCTCATCGACTGATAGATCCAATTATCAAGTGCTGAAGGAACCTGAGGGAGGCTCGCAGGGTTCATTTTTGTTAAAGAGAATGCTACAGGCACCAGTGGGCGCCAATCTAGGTGAGATTGCTAGCTCTCTCTTCTGGGCTAGCAATTTACTAGACAATTCCGACACCCTAACCGCCGAGTCAGAGAGTAATGAGAACGAGGATCAGCTGGACACAAATACCAATGAATACTACAACTTACTGAAGAATTCTAGGGGCGAGTTCTTGCTAAACGAAGCAAACTTGGTGCCTCAGCAAGTTTCAAGTGTACTAACCAGTGAAAATCAATACAGGTTTCCTAGTGACGTAGACGATCGGCCCAATTCTTACCAGAACTGGACAATCACTAGCGTGGAAGTACCCGACGGTGATCTGCAGTCCTCTAACTCTCGCGTGTTCCACGCGATTTATTACAACAATACGGATCCCACTGTAGCTACCGCGAACACAGACAACAATGTGACTTATCAGTATCAAACAGATACCTCCTGCAACAACGGCCAAAACTTCTTCAATTTTGATACGCAGAACGTCAATTATACAACCGGCACAGACATAATGGCCAATGATACCTCCGATATTTATTATCTGCAAAATTTTGGCAAACACAGCAGGGAGGTGGATACGGGATATTTTCGCAACGTCGATACTTTTGGACAGAATAATGTGCAGCAAAATGTCTATGCGAATGATCAACAATATCAATACATTTATCCTCATTTTACTCAGGAAACAAAGAATCTATTCAACGATAGATTCGAGCAACCGCAAAGCAATCTTGTGGCAGGATTAGAATATAATATTAATCAAGAAACTACTAGTACTGGGAATTTGCAGAGACCGGCAAATGGTGCGCGTTTATTTTCTTTTTTTTATTGATATAAATAAATAATGTAAAAATAAGATATATAAACAACATGTATTTTTTATATAAAAAAATTATGTATACATTTCTTAATAATATCAACTGTTTTTTTCGAAGAACAGATTTTTTTTGACGTTTTAATTAAGCGATATTTCATCATTCAGGAACAGTGGAAGCGTTCCGGCCAAAGTGGACTTCCGAGTCCAACAATTTGGAGAATATTCTAAATTATCATCCATCCAAGGAGGTAGATTACTCCAAATTAAGTCAAACATCCTGCGTATATTGCTACGTGGCTCCAATCGTCTCGCAGCGATCTAATCTGGCAATTAACGGCTGCTCGATTCAACGAAAATACACCGCCGAACAGCGACAACATTCCTTTTCACCCTACTGGATGTTGTATAACGACACATCACAAGGTATGCGAATGACGAATGTACCCAGCAATCCACTCGAGCAACCAATGTCAACACATGCAACTATCATCACTAACAACGATGATCTGAGAGAGATTGCCAACAACGCTCCCATCAATGATGTGTGGATGAATCAGTACGAGCCGCCATCCATCGTTGACGACATAAACATTCAGGTTTCAGACTCGCTCTTTTATAATGCTGATCGAATCGACGATATCCCGGACGCGCCGGATATAGCAAAGACTTAAAATTTGCGCGTGATTTATGGTTTATAGTAAACAAATAATTAGAATAAAATTATGATTTTTAAGATGATGGATAGCGTTTCCCGAACCGCAAAATGACGACGAAGGGACGTTTCTCCAGAATAATCATTTCTTTCCGTTTCTAAGTCACGGAAGAATTTTGTTAGTGTTTCAGCTTGGAACTGGAACAACCGCGAAGCCTATTCGTCATTATGTACCGCGTAATTGACGCCTCAGTAATTATTTTGTGCAATTGCCGCGAGATGCAACAACGTACTCTTCCGTTTTTGCATCACCAACGAGTGACAGGCGCAATTATTTCTCCGATTTGTAACTTAAACGAAAACGATATTCGAACAAAAAATAATAGCAAACAAATGGAAGTTGAATAATCGATATTACCTTGTAAGATGGATGGATCTATGTTTGAACGTACAATGCTTCTACCGCAGATCATTAAAAGTTCTATTTTAAAGCACAGAAGTTTCAGAGCTCGATATCTTGGAAAGGCAAATATATATTGTGGATCGGAGATAAAATGATAAGATACTTATATTAATGAAGTACTTTTGTATACTATTATTTACGTGAGATTGTAATGCTGTGCAATGTAAGATTTTATGTTTTTTTCATGTGTGTTAGCAAGAAAAGATTATTAGGATTTTATATTATATATAGGATTTATATGTATATACGGGTGTTTCATACATGTAAGCATAACTTCAGAAATTAATTCAGAATACAAAAATAATACAAAAAGTTAGTATAAATATTTCTTCTATCTGATTTTATTTCCGAATTACAGACATTTTTGTGTTTCATTAATTCTTGTTACAAATTCAACTATCTTAGCATCTTTACACATTTCTGTCTTAATAATTAATCAGTAAGACGCGAAGATGTGTAAAGACGCTATTCCAGTTCAGTTTGTAACGAGAATTTAAGCACTTGCCGCTACAGTAGGCTGACCCACATTTTTTTTTTTTTTTAAGTAACTAAACTCTAAAGTTAAAGTAATAGGGGAAAATATCAATATCACTTAAAGTTATTTACTCCGTTTTTAAAAAGTATGGATTAGTCCATTGTTGCAGCAAGCCCTTAATTAATTAAAACGCGAAAATGTTTGTAACTCAAAAATAATATCAAATAGAACTAATGTTTACATGGTATGTTTGTTATTTTTGTGTTCTGAATTCATTTCTAAAGTTATGCTCATACTATGAAATACTCTGGATAATACTCGTATATTGTGTCTTCTACATATTATATAGAAAAAATAAATATAAATAAGAAATTATATAGATAAAAATCAATAAATGGAAGTTTCTTATGTGTACTTTTAGTTAGATTACGCAGTCGAGCTGCAGTTGTATATTAATATATAATAAATAAACAAAGTTCATGCATCAAAAAAACTCATGCGCACGTCTAATTTACATGTGAATTTGGTAATCGTAAAATCATAAAAATAGAACTCGGCAAAATCCAGCAACTATAATCAAAATTTAATAATATATCGCATGCTTCAGATTCTTTAGAACGCTAAACTTTTTCCGACTCACCCGACATAGTATCCGACTGAAACTGCGAACGAATGTAATTTACCAGCTTCACAGAAATCGATTTCTTCCTCCGTCTTCCATACGTTCTGATTTCGTTATCCATGTCGGCTGAGTTCTTCTTTCGCTCCGTAGATCTTCCTGGTGTCACGTGTACACTGTACATTTTCGCTGATATGCGAATTGTATGCTAATTTGTAATAATTAAATCCTGTTGATCCTTTGGAATCCTTTAAAGAACAACAATTTTTCGATCGATTGTATTTTATAATGAAAAGATTCACCTTTACAAATTTTAATCTGAACAAAAAGTTTTATAAATAAAATATAAATAACTTTGTTTAGAAAAATGTTTGAGTTAGTCATTAATTTAAAAAAAATTTCAGAGAGAAACTAGTGATTTTACTATACGAGTCTTATCGATTAATTTTATGATAACTTTGCATTTATAATACAAAAAGTAATTTCATAATACTTTGCGTAACTTTCCAATATAAATTCCTGATAATCACGTTTCATTCACCTAATTATCGTATGGAGCACCGCGACTTTCTCGTCAATTTCAACAGCTATTTTTGTCGCAATTTTGTTTATAAATTTGGACGGATCTCACTTCATTCACGAATATTTTCTCCGTTTTGTTTCGCCTCGAGAGTCGAAAGGGCAAAATCAGTGGTGCGAGTCGGCGCGTTGTCCACGAAAGACTGCTTGAAGTACGTTAAAGGGAAGCAAGTAAATAGCAGTAGCAGGTAGTCGCTTGTATGTATATACATGTATCGTGGTTACAACCAGCATTCGAGTTGCGCGGTTTTAATGAGTTGCTTTGTAGAGCGCTACGGTAATTATACAAGCTTCAAACACTTTTTCCATAAGCTCTCTACAAGGACGCAAAAGTTTGACTAACTGATACCTTAATTAGTCATCCCTTCTGCGCATTATTATTTTGCATAACTTTGTGCAAAGAAACTTCTGTCAATTTTTTAATTTCATCTATATATATATATATGTTTTTAATTATAAAATGATATGTTTACATCCAAGCTCTTATTAATCGCATAATTTTTTCTAGGAATATTAATTATGTGTAGCAAGGAATAATATATTGAAGTATCTATTTTATATTTATTACAATTTATAATATAACAGTTTGTATTTATCATCATTATTCCAGCGAGAATCTAGAACACTTGAAAAAAAGTACAGGTCCATTAAATTTTGACTTTACTTTCCCGAGCAGTGTAGATATGAAATTTTCAAATTCAATTTTGCTGCTCAATGGCCGCTGGTTTCTGTGTCTCTTCGATAAGTGGAATCGATGAGATCGGGGGATACTTTCCTTTGTACCAATTTCCTTCCAAATCCAATGCACGATTATGATTAACAATATTTGTCAAACACTCTTCGATCGCAGCATCCACATTTTCCGCAGTGATGAATGTAACAGATTCTTCCTTAACCTTTTTAACCAATTCGTTGAGCCTTATCTTGTTTATCTCTCGGTTCTGCTGTTGCATTAAAATATTTTTCAGAATGGCATTTTTGCGTTTCTCCCTTATCTCCGCCAGCTTGATCTCTCGTATCTTTGCTATTTCTGCATTCCACTCATCATTTATGGCGTTGCATGCTTTAAAGTCCTCCTCTTCGGTCAGCTTGTTAACTACTGTCTCATTAAGTTGCATCTTATTTTCTTTTGCAATTTCCCTTATATATGCCCTGCAACACATTATTAGTTAATTTTTGAAGCTAAGAATATACAATAATTTCAATAGCTAGAATATTCTAGGTTGTATTAATCATATTTATTTTATTAATCATTATTATCAAAAGTCAGATTTATAGAATTATACATACTTAAATGATGTCATATATGTCCTATAATTATTATATAAACGCTTGAGCTCCACGTAATCCTCCATAGGTATGACAGGTCTTTTTGGTACTCGAAACACTTTAGATTTTGCTGTGGGCAGCCATATTGGTTTTCTTTTCCAACGTATACACTGTGTGTAGACAGAATTTGGAATAAAAGTCTCACAGAGTCCTGTAGTACCCATTGTTAATGCATTAACATTTATTATCCTCATGGTCTGCATTGTTCTAGAACTATAAAAAATTTATTGTCATGAAAATTATATTATTATCAGCTTGTAATATTGATACTTGTCACTATAGTGCTATCATATCATTTGTTCATACAATTAAATCTATTATATATATCCAGACATTATGTCCGAAATGTGGATGTAAGACACTTTTAAGACGTTTTAAGCCTAATTTTAAAGCTAAAAAGAGACAGAGACAGAAAGAGTTTTAAGTCTTACTTAAAATCGAAATAATGTTGGTGCAAAAGGGCCTTGTATCTGTAGTTTGGAGATGATGTTGCTGGATATGTAACACACACACACACACACACACAAAATAAAGAGATTAAGATCAATTAAATAAAGAAAGTAAACATATAATTGACATTATATTGCAATGAACATCCTTTAAATAAAAAAACCAAAATTGATGAAATATATAGAAGATACCAAATATTAACAGTCTTCTAAAAACTTAATATATAATGTAAATATAATATTATAATCAATAAATATTGAAAACAATTAAATGACAAATACCAAAATACGTTTTCGAAGTAACAACACAAATCTTTCGTCACTTCGCCGCTCCAGTTTTGGCAGGCTTTGGTTATGTTACTCCAATTTCTCAAAAGTGAGGTTATGGTATTTCTCTGTTTTTTGCCCCCCCCCCCTTCCAGGCACGGCGATTCGCTGCGCTTGCGCATCTGAAATTGCGCTTTTGCATTTAAATACTCAAATGTTCTAATTATCGTAGCTGTAATAACTTCACAAAAGGAACGTAAATATCTTTTTGAAATTTTATGAACTTTATTGTACAAAGAGAGAGTGTGACGTGTATAGATATATAACCAAAATAAAAGGAACATACTTTTTTAAATAAGTATTCTTACGTACATTAAAAAGATGGAACATCTTTTGAGATAAAAAATCAATTTGTTTGTAACTTTTATCGACTTTTAGATAAAATAAAGTTGATGAAACTACAAATAATATTATCATAATAAAACGGTAAAAAATAGAAAGAAATATTTTAAACAAAAGTTCACTTTATAAGTTTTACACTCAAAGACACTTTATACTGACTTATATACAGTTTTCGACAAAATTATGTCTTCCAAAATAATCTTAGTCTTGTTCATTAACATTTTTAAAAATTTTTTAATTATATACCGTTAAATTTTTCTTTAAATTATAAGCCTTAATTATGTGGTGTCACAAAAGTTTTTAAATTCTTGAAAAATAAACAGAGATATTTAAAAAATATGACATAATATTTTAAAGAAATTTAAGTAAATCTTCGGGAAATAAAATCCGGATGCAGCAGAAAATGTTCAAAAGCGAGAAATCATTTATAGAATATGTTTATTGAAAATGATCGTGTATAATGCGATGTATCTATAATGTACAACAACAAAATCAGATTCCGCGAAATACATTCATTCGAGCTCCCTCGTGTCTTCCTTCTATTTTTCTTTCTTTCTTTTTATGTCCCTCTTTCGAAACAGCAATAGCGTGCTCACACTATATATTAATTATCCTAATTACAATTAATACGTAATTAATTAACCTTCGTCATCACGCGGTACGACAATATCATCCAACACAAACACGAATAAATCTTATCTCAACAATCGCTCTAAAATTATTATCGCCGTATATGGTTATTATTATTAATTGTAATTGTTTTTTTTACTTTTTTCTCCCTTTATCTTGTCCTCCGTTCCTTTTTTACAAATGTGCCCAAACGCTGTAGAAATTACTTAAAATATATCTGCATCGACGATAATCACAGATATTAATTTGTATCTATACTATAATAACGTCGTTCCTTTTCTCTTTTTTTTCTTCTTGCTCTTTACGCCATTCATAGATCGAACGTAATCGGAATTTCGCGAAAATTCAGATCCAAATTACAACTCGCACGGGATCGCGATAAAATTCCACCTGCGTGTCATAAAATTAACGAACCCTATTAATGGAATAATATTAACGTAAGAATAATTATGCACGCGGGACGCTTCGAAAAGACACTCGCGCGTTTGTTATTATTCTTCTCGATCGTTTATCAAGTTCCCAGAAAAAAATCTTCGTCGACTTTTAATTCGATTTTCCGCTTAATCATTCAAATAACACAAAGGGCCTATGGCCAGTATTCATAGTCAGATCTTATATTCAAGATCGTCTTAAGTACGGTCTTAAGAAATCACGAACCAATCAGAAGGCCGCATTAGCGCCTTAAGACATTACTTAAGAAGGTCTTGAAATAAGACTCGACTATGAATATCGGTCATAGACGTTGTTCAAGATTCGAGATGGTCTTAAAATAGTGCTTGAGATGTCATAAACCAATCAGAGGTATTCATAGTCCGATCTTATTTCAAGATTGTCTTAAGTACGGTCTTAAGATGCTAATGGGGTCCTCTGATTGGTTCATGACTTCTTAAGACCGTACTTAAGACGATCTTGAATATAAGAACTGACTATATGAATACCGGCCAGAGAGATGTATTAGCATCTTAAGACATTGCTTGAGATTGTCTTGAGATTAAAAACAGACTATAGATTCCGGCCAAAGTCTAAAATCGAGACATAAGATGTCTTTTAGGCCGGTATTCATAGTCGATTCTTATTTCAAGACCGTCTTAAGTAATATCTTAAGACGCTAATGCAGCCCTCGATTGGTTCGTGACTTCTTAAGACCGTACTTAAGACGGTCTTGAATATAAGATCTGACTATGAATCCCGGCCTTAGACATCTTATCGCTTGACTTTGGACTTTGTGTTGCCTAGCAGCTTTTTAATTTTCTGTTCGATTTTCTCTTTCGGAACGCCCAGCGTGAGAAGAAATCGAAGAATCTCGTCGTATATTTTTTAACATTTCGTAACAATTGCAGCATCTCGGGAGGTATCTTTGGCTTAGACGCAGAACAGTTTGTGCCGTTTGCTTTGAAGAAACGCAAGTAAGGAGAAAAAAGGTCTATCTCACAGCGATTTTTTTGAGGAAGGAGGAGAACTTGTAACGAACGTCTCGCAGTTTTTCACCTTTCACAGTTTTAGACTTCAAAGTTGAAGAACTCTGAGCAATATCATGCTAAACGTTCTTCAAATGATAAATGATAAAGCGAGTGAAGGAAATACAATGCGAAAATAATTTAATCATTATCTTCTGGCGGCCAGACTTTGCAAAATCCTCTTGCATTTCAAAACTGCATTCGTCTGAAGGCAACATTCGCAAAATTCGTGAACTCGACAGTGGCAGTATTCCATGTATAAGTGGTTGTAATGAAACATGCTATGGGATCAACTTTTAGTATGTACTTAAGCCTCTTTGTCGAGAAACAATCTATTAATCTCGCATTTAGCATGTCGATGAGCCCTCCAATCGCTGATTTTAGAGATTCTCATCTACTTACTCGCGCCTCGCGTGATTTTCACTTTAATGCATGCGTTAAAAATTCATGGCTTGTTTCAAGAGCTGCGTTCTCTTTCTGCTTTTTCTATGCTACTAGGAAATTTCTAAGCACTAAGACAATTTGCAGAATTTGGTTTATCAAGTAGAACCACGGAATTTGCAGGTTTGCTGAACCTTAGCAGCTTACTAGACTCCTACTTAAAATCCTTAGAGCCTCGGAGCCATTTCTGGATTCTTAAAAATCCTTACAACTGTCAAAGTCTGAATCTCTTTTTTTTCGGCTTCTTAGACCTATGGATATTTCGAAATATTATGCTTCGCGATATTGAATCTAAATTCTTAATTAGATCAGCGGTAGTTTAGGTTCTTATTAGATTCACGAAGAATGCTTATATAGTCTGGAGTTAAAAATACAGTCTTGTAAGAAGTCCTAAGTTTTATATCTCTCCTTATATGCACGAAAATGGCACATGTGTTTCTAGCTTGGCTTTGTAAGCAAGAATCTCTTGTCAATATACTTGAGCTGTGTGTACATTTCATTGGTCAAAGGAAGGCATTGTGTACATCGATGCGTTCTGCGTTTACTGAATTATTTTTCCATTTGTAAATTCCTTGACGTACACGCAGACTTCCATCAAGAGATCTATCATTAAGAAACATAATACGGTAATCGTCAGACATCTATGTAGCAACTTCTATGTATATATTCAGAATGCAAATTTCTTCTTGAACTTAGTTTAAACGGTAACGTTCAATCCTCGTCTTTTTCTCTCTCTTTCTCTCTTCATCTTAGTTCTCGTGGAAAATTCATTCATTCACTCCACAATATTAAGACTGAATTGCAAGAAATGAGAATCAGTAAATACTATTGTGTATCGTAAATAAGTTTTAAATATTTCCCTTTGTTTTCACAAATATGTAATCAATTAAAATATAAATATATGCGGAATATACAGGGTGGTCCACTTAAATCGATCATCTGAAATATCTCGCTTATTTTTGATGATATAAAAAAATGTTTTAAACGAAAGTAAAAGGATTTCGAGGGGGACATATTTTCGTCATGTTTTTTTTCAAGGTAAAGGCGCCAAAAAGATGTGAAGGTTACGTACACTTTTTTAAATCGAACTGTATGATTTTTTTTAAACAATATGATTCCTCTAATTATTCTACATATAAAAATATTAAGGTAGTAGTGATACCAAAAAATCAATAGTTGACGAGATATTTTACATTTTATTCTGGCACATATTGACATAAAATGTTAAATAACTCGTAAACTATTAACTTTTTGATAATCGTACCTTAAGAAGAAAACATAATTACTTATTTAAAAAATTATCCATTTTGTATACATCATTTTTAAAGCAACTATGTGTTTTCTTTACACCAAACTGATTCATCTCATTATTCTGTTCATAAAAGTGTTAAGGTACGATTATCAAAAAGTTAATTTCACAAATTATTTAACATTTTATGTCAATATGCCAGAATAAAATATAAAATATCTTGTCGACTAATGGTTTTTTGATATTACTACCTTAATACTTTTATATGCAGAATAATTAAAAGAATCATATTGTGTAAAAAAAAAATCATACAATTCCATTTTAAAAAGTGGAGGTAACCTTTATATTTTTTTGGCGACTCCACCTAAAAAAAAGCAACATAACCAAAATACGTCCCCCTCGAAACCCTTCCGCTTTCCTTTGAAACATTTTTTTATATCATCAAACATAAACGAGATATTTCAGATGGTCGATTTAAGTGGACCACCTTGTATATGCACAAGGTGAACAAAGATATTGTTTTCGATCATTTTGAGGCACCTTGTACATGCATACCGTTGAATTTGGTCGACTCTCTTTCCTTCTCTCTCTCTCTCTCTCTCTCTCTCTCTCTCTCTCTCTCTCATTCTTATATATGTATAATCACTCTATGTTATATCATCAAATATTATATATGTAAGAATATTTTGTACGACTATATTTTAATAAAATAGTTGGTAAACAGTAAGTGTGTGTGTATAATTATTCAACAAGTACTACGTTATTATAATAGTAATAACATCCGGCGGTTAACTGGTGGAGATGTATAACCGGAGAAAGAAATCCATACATATAAATTAAATTAAATCCGATTTACTGCTTTAATTTTTTTTCAGCACAATATGTGGTATAGATATAATAAATAAATAATATATTACGTAATATGCATATTTTTAAAAAATTCTTAAATTTTTTT